TTTATTTCATTTATTCGTTCTTTCCAATTCCTATTTATTTCATTTATTCATTCTTTCCAACTCTTATTTATTTCATTTATTTGTTCTTTCCAATTCCTATTTATTTCATTTATTCGTTCTTTCCAACTCTTATTTATTTCATTTATTCATTCTTTCCAATTCCTATTTATTTCATTTATTTGTTCTTTCCAATTTCTATTTATTTCATTTATTCATTCTTTTCAACTCTTATTTATTTCATTCATTCATTTTTTTCAACTCATACCAATGACTGAATCTCAAGAATATCTATTTTTATTACGTGATGCATTTGAAAACTTGCTTACCAAGTATCTTAATAGTAAATTGGTAAATAGAAGATGTAAAACTTTCATTACACGTGAGGATTTTGACTTCTGTATTAAAGTTTTACAAAACCCAATGGACCGTTATTGGGCAAAAAAGTTATTTACTTTGCGTGATCTTGGAATACCAATAAACCCTATCATACAACTCATTAAACTTGATTCAAACCTACCCGTATGCCCTGTTGACAAGATATATGAAATGTTATGCAGTTTACATCAAGAAGCTTTGAAGCATATTGGTTTATCAAAACTGTAGGAGGAGGTATATATTGTAAAAATATTTTAGAAGATTATGCTTTATTTGAATTAGTAAATTTGATATTAATTTTTTAATAGGTTTCAGAACAATGCTGTTACATTCCACAATCTTTTATAAAGGAATTTGTAAAGAATTGCACAATATATGCAACTCAAAGAACTTTTCCAAATCTAGTAGCTGCAAAACCAATAATCTCTAATGCTTTCCTTAATAGGGTTCAGGTTGATCTAATTTCCATAACTAGTATTTCCGACAGTGATTATTATTATATTTGCTATATTCAGGATCATTATACTCAGTACTCTTGGGCTCGTGCATTGACCAGCAAGTGGCCAATTGAAGTGGTATTTTTTTTTTAACGTTTTCATCTGTTTTGGTGCCCCAATTATTCTTTAGACTGATAATGGTCATGAGTTTATAGTGGAAGTAATTTGCGAATTACTTACTATATAGCCTGATGTTCATATTATTAATAGGTGCCCAAGGCACCCACAGAGTCAAGGGCTTGTAAAACATGCGAATAATATACTTCAACAAAAAGTATCTAAATGGATAGAAGATATACAAAGGAGAGATTGGGTTCATGCTATACTATTATGCTGTTGTAGGTATTTTAATTATGATTAATTTTTTTAATTAAAGTAATACATATATTTTTTTATTAGACACTATGAATATACAAATATCGTGACCAACTAAGAATAGTCCCTACGCATTAGTATTTGGACAAAATCCTTTACATCATTTTATATTGTTAAAAGAAATTAAAGAATGACACATTAATTCTAAGGATGATTTATCTGAAAATTGGTTTGAATCCTCTGAACCCCAAGACGATTTTGATCGACAAGAAATCGTGAAGTTACTTTTAAGAGCTGCAGCTTTAAATATAAAGATAAAAATTTTTTATACAATAATATATTTTATTTATTTATTTATTTATTTATATATTTTATTTTTTTATTTATTTAATTTATTAATTTATTTATTTATTATTATTATTTTTTATTATTATTTTTTTTATCTAAACTGAATAATTTAAGGAACAACAATTACTGAACTCGTTGATGAAGAATTAGAGAATGAGCAAATAGATAACAAAAGAGATGATAACAAAAGGGTAGATGATGATGAAAGAGTAAATTATGATGAAATAGTGAATAACAATGAAAAGTAAATGACGATAAAATGGTGAATAATGATGAAAGAGTAGATTATGATAAAATGGTAAATAATGATGAAATAGTAGATGAAAATGAAATGGTGGATGATGATAAAAGGGTGGACAATGATGAAAGAGTACACAATGATAAAAGTGTGAATGATAAAAGAGTTGACAATGAAAGAGTAGATGACGATGAACGTGTAGATATTGAAAGAGAAAATTATAGAAGTGTATATAATGAAAGAGTGAATGATAAAGGGTTAACAATAAA